AATACAGTAGCTAAAAATACAAACAAACAATCATGATCATCATATGAAATGTCCAGATGAGAATCATAGGCAGACAATAGAAGCCATGTATCAGAATCCATTTGCTTTCAACTATCTATTGTAGAGGCTTACTAAAATCTGTTCTGTAGAATGATTTGTAGGTTAGAAAAGGATACAGTCCAGTATAGCCGACATGAATGAAAGTAAGAATAACTGTGATTGCGACAGATCAGAATGGATGACATCAACTCTAATATCATCAGATTTAAAACATCATCATAAAGCTCCTTCGCCCGTTCCTTACTTTGCACAAGGATTAATACTGTTGGGTTCAGACTCTACTCCCAGCACATAATACAACAAACAAGGAAGACTGTTGAGAAATGCACTAGCTGAAAATACTAGAAGAGCTCATGTTCAACGCTGTTCAAGGCCTGACTGTGGCCTGTTATTGTTATGTGAGCACGTTTTCCATTTTCAAATATTGCAAGGCAAACAATGACCATAAAAGCAGTAAAACTCCAAGGAGCTTTGATGAAGTGCAGGTAGTTTACCTTCTTCACTTCCAGCAAAAACCAACTTTTGCTTGATTGATTCTGAAGCAGTATTCCTACAAACGTTAACAAATGATAAAAATTGGAGGGAATTTCTCTCAGTTTTGGAAAGAAAGTATCTCATACTTACTTCCTGACAACAATAACACGAAAAGCATCATGCATATTATTGTGCGTGCAAGGTCCTTGAGGAAATCAGGTAAAGTTGAACTAAACAATGAGCGTATTATTGAAGTATTAGAACATGCTTTGACCACGCTATCAATCTGCTTTAACAATCCAAGCTCAAATAGCTTATCAGGTTCATCTGATACAAGATACTCAACCCTGCAAATCAATGAAACTTGAATCAAGAAGCAATTTGAAGGCAACTTTATGTTTGCTTAGCTGGTGATTCTTTCCACTCTAGCAACCCCAAATATTAATCTGACATTCTACAGCCTCTTTTGGATAGTTATCTTCCTGCAGAATAGTCTGAGTAGTAGTTTCAAAAATTCAAGCATATAAACCTATTTATTGAATCGCCCTCTACTTCTGAAATTTGAAATAGGGATATATAGCTAGCGGTCAAGAAGTCACCTCTTGGTTGAACTTACTGAATTTGCCAAGAATTTTCAATGTTGTAATCTTTTAAATTTACGCAGTAAATGGCATACTAAAAGATGTAAGTGGATAGCTGCTAGTATAGAAAATCCTTCATACATGCAGATATAAAAGAAAAATAGCCACAAAAGTTCCATCAATTTAACAGAAACGTAGCTAGAGCACAGATGTACTTTTTTTGTGGAAATAAATGGAGCATGCAAGACTCAAGTAGCAATATAAATCCAGAGAAAGATCCAAATCACAGATGGAAATCATTTTATTAAGAATTTTCATGTTAAGTGTAATGGTTTGCTTGGTCTATGCCCTATACACCATCAGGGGAAGCTTCTGTGCAAGTGTGCATTTTCTGGTTTTCACCATTATCATATTCAGAGCCATTGTGTTAAGATCTTTAAGCTCCAAAATATTAACGTTCAAATCCTATCTGTTTCTGTGTCACCTTGAACAATCAAATCAATAATCAGTTAGACAATTATTATTACACGCCTGCTTAAATCGATTTTTCTTATGTTGATAGCCAAATGTAACCCAGGTGGCATGGATATAAATATATCACAAAGGCAGCTTTGAGAAATCAGCATTTCTTGCTAGCTCTTTAGTCATCAACTTGATATGGACTTTTTTTTCCTTTTGCAAGCTTCTTGTACTCTCTGGTTGTCTGAGCAGCTAACTCACGTGTAGGACACAAAATAACTGCTCTTATGCCAGTGGTTGATGCATGCTGACATGACATATGAAGAAAGTTAATCAAAAAAACCCAGGGAAGTGAGGATCAATATCCAGTATAAATGATTAAAAGCTGAAAAAATACCTTAAGTTTCATAAGCATTGGAGACACAAAAGCCAATGTTTTCCCAGATCCAGTAAGAGCACAAGCAAAGACTCCTGACCCTAACATAATAATAGCATAGCAATTATATTAAACCAAAGCAGCCAAATTCTTGTGTTTTTATTGAGTGTTGTTAAAAGAGAAATCAGAAAAGAAATTGACAACTGCAGAAGAAAGCCACAAGAAGTCCATACAGATAGAAGAACAGGAATAGCCTGCCTTTGCATTGGTGTTGGCTCGTTAAATCCAAGTTTAGCAAAATTGCGTAACAAATAGGATTTACATCCATATCTGTAGAGAAACCATACAAAGTTCATTCTAACTAATACAATTCAAACAAGCATTCTCTCAAAATTAGAAACTAGAGAAACAACAAAAGACAGCTATCAAGACTATCAAATGAAAGAAATTGCAAATGCAACTACTTCTATGCATGGGAAAAGAAAGCACATTGAGCTTAAGTCTGAAAAATCCTTAACTGATGATGGGACATTATTCCCAGAAACATGAATGTTATATTTCTTCTGCAGAATCGCATAGCATAATCCTATCAAGAATAACCAAAATAGCATAGTATAATACAAAAACATACAATAGAAATAACATTATCAAAAACCACAATTCAAAGGCCAAACAAAAACAGCAGAAGATGAACCTCCAATTATCTAAAGCTCCTTCTTTTCTTTTGAGAGCTTATCTTCATCCTTTTCATTCTCTTTTTTCACCACAGGTGCTGTTTTTGAACTCTTAAAGACACTGAATCTCTCCGTTGATTCTATTTTCCCAGAAATTAAACAAAATTAGCTTACATGCTTTCATCTTGTGCTACAAAAAAAAAGAAAAAAAAGAAAAATCACCTGAAGCAACTGGCTTTCCATTCTTGATGGAAACTGACGGTTCCTCCGGTTGGAGGCTTCCATTATGGAACAGCGGCAAGTCCTCCACTTTACCATCGGTTTCTTTTTTGTCCTACATGAAAATACAAGCAACAGAATGAATTCATACGATTGTAAATATTGAAATATGAAATAAAAGGGGGAGAAAGCATTAGAAATTTGGAGGTTTAGCAGGCCAAACGGGGAAAAATGGAACCTTGAATCAATCAAAAACGTGGGCGAACTTATTCCTATCGAAGTTGATGCCACCGAATAGAAAGGAGCTCCAATTTTCCATTTGGCGAAGATGAGGAACTCTTCCGAATTGGAAGCTAAGCCACGCCGGCGGCGGAGTTAGGGTTTAGACTAGTTCTTTCTCAGTCCTCCAGTAGAGGTTGGACTCTAGAGCAATGTGGCTAAACTAAAGTGCTAAACCCAACCTGATAATCTAACCGAACCCACTTCATTAAAAAACGGATCACAGCCTTTTGATCCGTGACCGCTGCGGCCATAATCCCTCTTTTCAATTAACTACTGTATTTTTCCTGATGCTTAATTATTTATTAATTGAAAAAGAAAAAGAAAAAGACAAAAAAAAAAAGAATGTAAGATTCATAGGTGGATTTGTCTTTCTAACTCAGTCAACCTTTTCTTCTGGGAATTTTCCTGCTTTCAAAGAAATCTTGGTTGTTTATAGTTGACAGAATTTCAGAAAAACATTTCTTTTGTTTTCCGATGTTGAGGAGTGGTAATATTGCAGTCTTAACATGTCTTTTAATTGAAAACTTTCATTGATATTCCTACAACGAACCACACTGAGATTACCAAGTACACTGTTGGTCTGTTTGAATAATTAAGTTTGTTATCCAAAATTTCATTTTACCTTTTTTTTTTTTTTTTTCTGAGAACAGCAATAAATTTTATTTATTAGGGAGAATAATGGATCCTCGGATCCATTGTACATGACACTAACAAGGATAGAGAACAATCAAAGATATTGTAAGAAAAAAAAAAAAACAGTGAGAGATATTTGTAAAGAACTAAAAGAGAGTACAGCATCCTTATGTATCTCTCTGTTCACACATATTCTTTCCTGGTTTAAGCACTAGCAAAAAACCCAGCAGTTCTCTCAATCATTTTACTAATAATTTTATTGATGTAATTAGAATTGGATCCCACATTGCTAGTAATGGGCAGCAGTGGTCGGTTTAAGTGTCGAATAAAGGTGTGAATACGGTATGCAGCAAAGAGGAGCCACACGAGTAACCAGAATATGGCGATGTATGGTTTGTTAATTGAAATGAGAGAAATTACTGCCAATGAACCTGTCAATAAGGTAATTATCTGTAAGATTTTACTCTTGTGGTGATGTGTGCCTGAATTGGAACCACCTTCTTCTCCTTTGAGGCTCACAATGGCAACTAACGTTGTAGCACACAACATCATCATTATACAATATATGGATAACATGACTGAATGCCAAATTGGAGGGAGCACAGAAAGTTGTATAAAAGGAGTGTAGGCTGTTATTAATAAGCCTAATATAGTTGTTATTCCAACAAAAAAGTCACCCAACCTGCAAAGCAAAGCCACAAGGGAAAGTTTATCAGAGAAAATAATGATAAACAATTCTACCCTAAAAAAAAGAGAAGAAAATAATAATAAACAAAGAAAAATATGATGAGGAGATAAAGATAATAAGAACGAAGGAACAACCTCACCATTTGGCTGCCAGAGGAGGACTTTGTGGAAGTAGAGGACTAGAAAAAATAAACAATTCTCCTTCGATCCAGGCACAGACCCAAATAAAGAAGAAAAAATGATT